GCTGTAATTTAATTTTGTATCATGTCTAACTTCCCACTAGCTCACATTTATAGGACCAACTTTGTGTAATTACTTGCCATGTCAAATATCATATTACATATAGAACACGAAAACTTTCTGGCTCTGATGAGGACATCAAAATTTGACTAAGAACCACTATAGAATTTCTGGCACAATGGGCCAACCAATTCCACTGGTTGTCAGCTTGTCCCTGATTTTCCAAGTAAAAACATGTTTCGTGTAAATAATGCCAGAAAATTGGTTGGTTTTGGTTGAATCTGATTTGAGGCTTGTTTAATGTTTTTTTTTTTTGTTTGTGTGTGTGTGTGTGTGTGTGTGTGACTATTTTAGAATTTGAATATAGGAAAACACTGTTCCATCTTTTTTGCGTTGAAGTGTACATTTCATGATTTGCAGCCTCATCTTCAATTTTTTCCCATTTCATTTCTCCTATAGGAAAACATGTTTCCTGTTTCATTTGCAGCCTCATATGGATTTTATCTGGTTCCTCTTAATTTTTGGTTCCATTTCTTCTTTGGCCTTTTGAAGTTTTTGGGACTCTCATATTGACCTTTTGGAACTTTTTTGCTTGACTGTATTGTCTAATGCAGATTGGAGGTAGCGGAGTTCTGATTTCACCTCTGACCTACATTTTTGATGAAGAAACTCCACGATGGCGCGAACTCCTTTCGAAATTAGGGCTCTAGTCATTTCTTTTTGTGGAATGCGTTGGGTGGTTTTGCATTCTGTGGCACAAACATGTTGAAGAAACGGAACTCGTGCTTTTAAAGAATTAGAGAATTTGCAGGTGTAGATTGGGCAGCAGCTTGTGACGTTAGAGAAATTTCCATGTCGTGATTTTTTTTTTTATGTATAAATTGAACTTTTTGCATCTTTTCGATGCTAGTTCAATTTTTTTTTAATTAGTGTTCTGTCTCTCTCCCTCCCTCTCTATCCTGTTGTAGCTTGTAACCATAATGTTTTTCTTATCAGCATTTGGAGTCTGGTGTGCATTGCATAAAATCCAATATAATCGGGACCTATAAGATAAACTCTCTCTCTCTCTCTCACACACACACTTACATATTGCAAATTCTATTGTTTGGTGTGGGACAGGCGTTGTTTCGTTGCAAAAGGGCAAGCAGATGGGGTCCTGACGGGACATATAGAAGGCATTACTTTTATTGACAGTCGTGGAGATGGCCGTTATTTTATCTCGAATGGAAAGGATCAGGTATTCAAACTTTGGGATATTCAGAAAATGTCTTCTAACGTCACTTGGTACACTTCTTTTGTTGCTTTTGTTTTGCATTCGTGTTTACTAATTCTCAACTGTACTCTAGTGATTGAACTGATTTGATTCTCTGATGAGTAATAGAAATTTATATAATACAGTAATGGAGGAGACGTGGAGGAACCTAATGTCCTATTGTTAACTTTCAATTCTTTAAGTTATCCAAAACATGCCCAGTTAGAGAGAAAATTTAGAAAAAAAAAATAGCAACTTTGAAAATATGAACTTAAGGTTGTTGGCATGAATTCTGGCATTAACTTGTATGATGCTCAAAGACAAATTTTAAATTTTACTTAAGGATCGCTATATGAAAAAATGTCTGCATAATGTTTAATATTTATAATCCATGTTCTTTAGGTGGGATCTCATGTTAGATATCATTCATATTCGTTGCTGGTCAGTCATATGCTAAATCGTTCAAATATGTATATGCTTACTTGACTTGTGCCATTGGGATCTCTTGCTTTTTGGCTCTAGTTCTTCCCTGGGCATTGACCTAGAGAAATTCTTAGGAATGATACATCTTACATACTCTGCTTACTCCAAAACTTGGGTTTCAACAGGCTTCCTTTGCTTAATGTTCAAACTTAGATCTTTTTCTTTCTCTAAATTTTTTTGTTGAATTAATACACTAGGATGAGTAACTGGAGAATGTGACCCTTCTTAATTGGCCGCCTTCTCCGTGCAACATGACATTTTTGTCATTGCAAATGATCAATCATGCTGCAAGAGTGTTTATTTATCAAAAAAAAAATAAAAAAAATCATGCTGCAAGAGTGTAAATAATAAGACACAGGCCACTTTGGTTGGACCTTTTCATTTATTTATGCTTAGTTTGTTGCAGCAGAATACGTTTTCTACATTTTTTGGAGTTTGGTATTATGACAAATGGAAGTCAATGGAAAACAATTCTCATGGTCAATGGAAAAAAACTTATTTGAACAGAAAATGTTTTCTAATGGCCACCAAATGCTAAATAATCAGACAGCTTGTTCAAGCCTAAATAGACTTGTAGGAACAAACAGGACTTCAATTGGATCTCTGGTTAGAAAATTAGATGGAAAATTGTAAAACACAAGACTTAAAAGGCCCGTTCGGGGGCTGAAATTGCGAAATGACCACCGAAACCACTGAAACTTGGCACGGACCACTTGTTCAAGCCTAAATAGACTTGTAGGAACAAACGGGTCCTCGATTGGATTTCCGGTTAAAAAATTAGAAGGAAAAATGTAAAACACAAGACTTAAAAGGCCCATTCGGGGGGCGAAATTTCAAAATGACCGCTAAAACCACCAAAACTTGGCACGGACAGCCTTTTCAAGCCTAAATAGACTTGTAGGAACAAACGAGACCTCTATTGGATCTCCGGTTAGAAAATTAGAAGGAAAATTGTAATACACATGACTTAAAAGGCTCGTTCAGGAGCTGAAATTGCGAAATGACAACTGAAACCACCAAAAATTGGCACGAACAGCTTGTTCAAACCTAAATAGACTTGTAGGAACAAATGAGATCTCGATTGGATTTCCGGTTAAAAAATTAGAAGAAAAAATGTAAAACACAAGATTTAAAAGGCCCGTTCGCGGGCTAAAATTGCAAAATGACCACTGAAACCACTGAAACTTGGTACGGGTAACTTGTTCAAGCCTAAATAGAGTTGTATGAGCAAACAGCACCCGATTGGACTTCCCGTTACAAAATTAAAATCAAAATTGTGAAGTTCATATTGAGGTTTTTTTTTTTTTTTTTGTCAATCTAATATTGTTTTTTCTTTTTTCATCTGACAGATTGGCAATGGTGGAAAATAGTTTGGGCTGTATCGGAAGATTTGATTTTGTGTTTTTGGAAATATTTTGACATAGGATTTTGGTAAATGATTTATGGATTAAATGTTTAGTATCAAAATATTTAGTGTTGTGTTTTTGCAAATATTTTGACATAGGATTTTAGTAAATGACTTGTTGGTTAGATGTTTAACATCAAAATATTTGGTTGTAATTTTGAAAATGTTTTGACATAGGATTTGGTAATATATTTATGGATTTAATGTTAGTAGTTTGTAAGTATTTTGGTATGCATGTTTTAGATTGTCAGAGAATTGTAAGTATGTTTATTGGGATTTTTCATAGCTATTAATTTTGAATTAGAATGAATGTCTTGCACAGGTGTATTATTATTTACATTACATTTGCGTATATATTGTGCACAGGAAAACAGGTGTTTTGGATTATTTTGAACAGGAAAATTATTAAAATCAAAATTTGTGTACTGAATTTTTAGTGACAGGTGGTATTTTGGTCGCTGTTAATATATTTGGCGACAACATATTGTTTTTGTTGCTAAAAGTTAGTGGTTATTCTAAGAACTTTTAGCAATCAAAACTTACTCGTCGCTAAAAACGTGATTTTTAGCGACCAAATTAATTTTGTCGTTAAATAGTACTTTTGGTGACGTATTTATTTGTCACTAAAACTACATAGCCTATCCAAATTTTAACCTTTTAGCAACAAATTGTACTTTTATAGCGACAAAATATATGATTTTTGGTGACCAATTTTGCTTGTCGCTAAATGTCTACCTACGGTGACAATTTCTAATTTCGTCGCCAATACTTTTAGTGACAGGCCTTTGGCGACAAGTTGTATATTTGTCGTCGATTCTTTTGGCGACGGAATTTGTACTTTTGGCGACAAATTTTTGGGTTGCCAAATGTGTTTTTTGTTGTAGTGCTAGACAGCTGGGTATAATTCAAGGGACTGTGGTGGGCTCTAGTGGGTTAAGAATCACGCACTTGCAATTTGCGGATGATACGATTTTGTTCTGTAATGCGGATAAAGAGGAGGTGGGCAACATTAAAAGAATCCTAAGATGCTTTGAGATTGTATCAGGTCTGAGAATTAATTATCACAAGAGTGTCATCTGTGGGATTGGGGTAGATGAGGGTTTGATGCAGGAGTTTGCTTCTTCATTAAATTGTCGCCACCATAAATTGCCTCTAAAATACTTGGGGCTTCCTTTGGGGGCTAATCCCAGCAGGAGGAGCAATTGGAAACCTGTTCTTGATAAGTTCAAACAAAAATTGTCCACATGGAAGAGAAGGTTGTTATCTTTTGTTGGGCGCTTAACTCTTATTAAATCGGTTATGTCTAATCTGCCCATCTATTATCTCTCACTGTTCAGAATCCCTGCTGGAGTGGCAAAGGAAATTGAGAGAATGCAATCTTCATTTCTTTGGGGTGGATCCGATCTTAGAAGGAAAATTCATATGGTCCGGTGGGAGGTGGTTTCTAAAAATAAGAAATTAGGTGGGTTAGGGTTGAGGAGAATAAAAAGTTTCAATCAATGTCTCTTGCTGAAATGGTGGTGGAGATTTGGTGTAGAGAATAAATCCCTTTGGAAGGAAGTGATTTGCTCCAAGTATGTGTCATTGGATGGAAGATGGACACCACAGTTAATAGGCAGAGAATCCAAGATCTGGTCGGATATTATTCAAGCTATACTGTCTAATCCAGAGCTGCACCACTTTTATATTTGTAATTCTCAGATTGTTCTGGGGGATTGGAGGAGAGTTTGATTTTAGAGAGACAAGTGGGTGTGTAATGTATGCCTAATGGAGGAATTCCCAAGGCTCTTTTCCTTATCTAATGATAAAAATGGTGTGGTAAGAGTGTTTTTTGAAAAAAAGGAAGAGAATGGTGGCTGGAACATGGACTTCAGAAGACCTCTGTTGGTATGGGAGGAGGAAGAAGCTAACAGACTTTTTCATTTGCTGAATTCTGCACCAATTCTGTGCAATTCCAGATCTGATGAGCTCATATGGGGTGCAGACCCATCTAATCTTTTCTCTGTTTCCTCTCTATATCTTTGGAGTGAATCACGTCTGGGACCTATACTACCAGTGGCTGCTTCAATTTGGAATAATTTCGCTCCTCCAAAAGTTCAATGTTTTGGGTGGATGGCTTGGCTGGGTAAGATTAAAACTTTGAGTTTCCTCCATAGAATTGGAATTCTAACAGGGAATGTAAATCTGGATTGTGTCTTCTGTCATAATGAGATTGAAACTGTGGAACATATTCTATTGTATTGTCATTTCGTTTGGTTGCTTTGGTCCAACATTGTCCGATGGTGGGGTATGCAATGGGTGCTACCAGGTTCAGTGAATGGACTGTTGAATTGGTGGGATGGTTGTAGAATGAAGAAGCTGGAAAAGAAAATTTGGAAGGTTCTTCCTCTGGCTATCCTCTGGTCTACATGGAAGCATCGAAATGATTGCATCTTTAATGGCTCTCAACCAAACTTGGAAGACCTGTGTGAAATAGTGAACGTTCGTGTAGCTATGTGGCTCAAAGCCTCACCAACTCAGGTGGAGCTTTCTATTAATGACCTGGTCTTTAACCTGCCACAGGTGAAGTTCTGCATTAGAAACGGAGGTTGAGTGAAAAAGTGTTTGTTTGGTGGGTTGGTTGTTGGTATGATTGGTGGTCATGGTAGTTCAGAGCTGGCCAGGTCTCATGTGTTTTTGTGCATACATTGTAATTCTATTTCTGGTTATAGGCTGCAGAGTTAGCTCCAAATAAAAATTGTGTATCATGCTGCTGCTGTAATATACCTGATGCTGATCTGGGTTGAACAGAAGTGTCCTAGAGTCTAATATAGCAGGTGCTCCTTACTGAAGTGTTCAAGAATCTGCCTTGGACTATTGGGCATGTTAATCCTGATCTGCTGTAATGTAGAATGCTGCCTTGGCCTGCTGTTGTGTCCTACTGCCTAGCAGTCTTGCATTGCTGTGAGGTTATGTTCATCCTCTGCTAGTTAGCTGATATGGTTTGCTGATGGAAGCAAAGAAAAAGAGTTCATCCTCTGCTGGTTAGCTGATATGATATGGGCTGGTTATTTGATTACTTCTCTATCTCTCTTTGTTTTTGGTGTTTTGATTCTGAGAATGACTGCTGCTGGTATCTACCAGATGATGTCTAGCAGCATAGCAGCATTGGTTTCGTGTTTTGATCTGTCTCTCTCGTTGGTTCCTCACCAACTCGGGGGTGCTTGCAAATGATAGGATGAGCTTTGTGGTGCCAACCTAGTTGGGATCATTTAGCTCATTGTGATGCTCCTGCACTCCTATTTTCTTTATTGGTGTAATTTAATTTGTACCTTGTACTTGTTTTCATCAATAAAGTTTCTTTTTTGCTGATAAAAAAAAAAAAACCTTTTAAGCTTTTAAATCAAATTGCAATATTATCCTTCTATCCATTTACTATTAAGGTTAACGAAAATTAAAAGTAAAGAAGCAAAAGTAAGATTAAAGTGAACGTGTAACCGCAAGAACAAAAGTGAAATTTTGATGAAATATAAGAATGCTAACTATGTTTGGTTCCATTTTTCTAAAAACAGTTTTCAGAAAATTCTACTTTCTTATTTTCCGTATTTTTTTGTTTTTACTGAATTTTTTTAATATTTTGTGCAAATTTTTTACTTTTTAGACACACCTAACATAAATACACCTAAAAAGTAAAAAAATTGTAAAAAAAATCTTTCAAAAATTCACTAAATACCATAAATACAAAAAAAATACAAGAATTCAGTACATTTTTTATATTTTTTGTATTTCTTAATTTTTTAAAATATTTTTTCATATTTTTTTTACTTTTTAAATACATCTAAGTAAGGTACATCTAAAAAAAGTAAAAAAATGTTTAAAATTTAAAAAATATTCACTGAAAACAAAAAAAAAACACGAAAATCAAACAACTCAATTTTCAAAAAACTTAATCCAGAAAACTCAGACCAAACACACTGAATGAGATTAAAAAAATGTCACATTTAGCTTACATGACAAATTACGTCAGTTTTATTAGCCAACTTGATTTAAAATGTATAGAGCTAATTGTCATAATTATTAAAAGGGTAAATTTCAAATACACCCCTAGAGATTTCCTTAAAATATATATTGGCCCTTGTGGATTGAAAAATTATAAATATCCCTTTGTCAGAATTTTTTATTTAATAAAATTAATTAAAAAATAAAATTCATTACTACTTTCTTATACAATAATAAAATTGTCTGATTATTAGGGGAATTGTATTTACAACATTAAAATTATTAATTAACTTGATGATTTATTAATAAAATAGACAATTTGTTATAAAATTAGAAATTTAAGGAGTTTGAATGTAATTTTCAGAACCATAAGAGACGATTTGTATTTTAAATAAATTTCAAAGGATATATTTATAATTTATCTTAATTATTAAAAATAAAGAGGGCAAAGGAAAACTCAATACTTCAAAGTTGTTGCGCAGTGTAGCATGCATTCACACAAACCATAAAGTCTTAATAATAATAAATCTATGTATTTATAATTTATCTTAATTATAAAAAATAAAAAGAGCAAAGGAAAACTACAGGACTTCAAAGGTGTTGCGCAATTTAACATTTTTTTTATCAACAAAACAAACTTTATTGATGAGAAGATTCAAACAATGAAAAAGTTCATCCTAATTAGGTTGGCACAAATTTGCACACTGAAATTATTTTCTAGCATAACATCAAGTTGGCGAGAAACCAACCAAAAGAGAACCAAGACAAAGAGAAATACAAGCAACCAAACAACAATACAGACAGCCAAACAGCAAACAACCAGAAATACAAGCAGCCAAGCACCAGATCCACCATATCCACCATTCCCTGCATTCTCAAGCTACTACCAGTTCATACTTCTATTTCCCATCTCTGACCATACCTAATGATAATGCACACAAACACCTAATGACGCAGTTTAACATGCATGCACGCAAACCATAAAGTTTTAATAATAATATAGAACCATATTTATAAACTTGTGAAAATTAAGAGCAAATTGGTTTGCATTTCTCTCACATAATGCTACAGCTGTCACCCTCAGCCGCAAGGTCAGCCGCAGCCGCAGCGCCAGAAACAGCTGCAACCTCAGCACCAGCCACGGCCGCAGCGCCAATCGCTGACTCGAGTAATCTGAGCAGCCAAGTCGACTTCTTCTGAAAATATGAAAGTCCATAAAATAAAATAAATAAAAAAAATGGAAAGGAAATTAGATCAATAACTTGAGAGTTTGACTTCTATAACTTAAACCTTAATTATGTGTTCTGTTTATTACAGTAAAATATAATTGAATGACTATTTCTTAACAATAGTAAATAATGATGCAATTTATAATATTTTTTTTTATTATCTTTTTAAAGAATCAAACGTGGAAATTGATAAAATAATAACATTGTGAGACTTAGGCCAAGTTTGGCATGATTGAAAAAATACAAAAAGTCAAAAAGTCACTATCCTATTTAAGTCACATCATCTTATTTAAGTCACATCACCTCTCTAACACATCACTTCAAACCCAACCTAAACCCAACCCATATTTCATAAAAAGTCAAAAAGTGCACTTATTTACTCTTCCCAAACTAGGCCTTAATGGTGTACATATTTTTGTAGTAGGACCTGTGAGCAATTAACCCTAATTATTCACTTCTTCTAGTAAAACTGGAATATAATGTTTTAATTTTTTAATTAAACCCTTGATTTTTAAATTGAACATAATAATATCCATCCATCCATATTTCCAAGAAGTTTAGAAGGAAAGGAAAAAAAAAAACAAATAGTCTTAAAATTCTGACATAATTATATTGATTTCTTTTTTAGTAAGGCTAAGAACATATAAGGATAATAAAAATATATACATTTTAGAATAAAAGATGTGATAATATCAATTTTATGTCTATATGACTAACCAGTTTAGTCATGAAAATAAGATTAAATATTACGTGCATTAAAATCTTTAGGGATGTTAATGTAATTATGTCAAAATTATGAAATTTGCTATATTTTTGCCAAACCTCATGGGAGGACAGTGTAATTTACCTAAAATGTAAATTGAAAAAGAAGGGGATAAATTTCACCGTTAGTCCTTGCATTTTAAGCGAAGTGTAACTTTAGTCTCCATAATTTCAATTTGAACCCTAAACTCTTAATTTTGTTGCAATTTTATTGTTTTGTCATGTGTTGTTAATATTTTTGGTGTCCACGCATAATTTTTTTTGAGTGAATTTAAAAGATAATAATAATAATAATAATAGTGATTACTAATATAATTTCTTTTGAGTTTCACTTTGATTTCTCTAATTTTATATGTATTTTAATTTTTTTTTGGTTTAAAATTTTAACAACTGTAAATAATGGAGGGATAACATTGCAACAATATTAAAAATATGAAATGCAAATTGAAACTACAAGAATTGAAGTGAAACAACAATCATACTAGCAAGAAATTATTCAATGCTCCGCGTGCAAGTTTAGATGATGTTTCAAATGAGCAATTATTGAGGTAAATCATGAAATCTACCACTTTTATGTTAAAATTTTAAGAGATAAAGTGTTAAATATCAATCTATAAATGAGAGTATTACTCCAAAAATATTGAATAATTATCGATAACATTAAATTTATATATACATATTTAAAAAGATCACGTGATTGTATGTCCATCAAATAATATATTATTATTTCTATATCACTTCCTTGATTTTAAACCCATGTAATTATTAAGGCCATGCTATTGCTTGGCATTGTACTATTGATTGGATACACCACAAATGTAAAATTTTAAAAGATAGGATAATTATGTGAGAGAGAGAGAGAGAGAGAGAGAGAGAGAGGTGTTACCTTAGGCTCTTCCGGGGAAGGAGGTGGCTTTCTGGTATCCATAGCCATCTTTCTCTTAGCTTCAAGCAAAGCAAAGTTATCCAAGAAATGGCCAGGCATATGTTTGTGGGTGTAACTTTTATTTTCATTGCTAAAACACTTGGGGCAAACGCAGAACTTGTCATCTTCATTGTCAAAACATATCGAACAACTGAAGAACATCCCTGGTATGAACTTACCACATCCTCCACAGAAAGGTCTTCCACTCTTAATAACGTAGTACAGAGCCATCACCTCCTTGAAATCCAGACTTCCATCATGGTTCACGTCGAGCGCTTTGAACATTTCTGGTGGATTTTCTGCTTTTACGAGTCCTTCCTCCTTCATGTTGTTCAAGAATTCGCTCAGACTTACTTTTTTATCGTGGTCTTCATCCATTGAATTGAAAAAGTCTTCTATCAGTTGCTTGAGGTTCTCTGATGATGTGTTGAAATAGATCTCAGCTATCTCAAGCATACCTATGCGGTGATGATGCCCCTCCATCTTTAACCTTTTCTCTACCTTCAAAAAGACCAAGATGAAGATGAAGATGAAGATGGTTTGTCAATATATAAGCAGCAATACTATTAATCTAGAAATAATATTTAAAGAATTTTTTTTTATCAACAAAAAAGAATCTTCATTGATGAAAAACTGAAGAAAAGGTTGATGAAAAATATTATGTAATACACCTAATTCTTTACATTTAGTCCATGTAATTTAATTTTGAAAAAAATATTATTCGGTGTAGATGTAGAAAATAAATTACTCATAAACACACCCCTAATTCTTTACATTTAGTCCATGTAATTTAATTTTGAAAAAAATATTATTCGGTGTAGATGTAGAAAATAAATTACTCATAAATGATAAACTTTATAAATATTAATATTTTAAATTTTAAATTTTTTCATGCATATGTAAATATTTTTTTCAAAGCCCAATGAAATGTAATTCTCCTTTTAATTTTTATGAGTAAATTATAAATGCACTCCTTTAAATTTGCTCAAAATATGAATTGTCGCTTGTAATTCTAAAAATTACATTCCATCCCTTCAAGTTTTTAAATGCATAACAAATGATTATTTTTATTAATAAATCATCAAGTCAATTAATATTTTTTTTGATGGTTTTTGAAATATACTTCAATTAGAAAAGTAGTTAGAAATTTTATTTTTCTATTAATTCTGTTAAACAAATTTTTTTGAGAAGGGACTATTTGTAATTTTCAGAATCACTTGTGACAATTTGTATTCTGTTAAACAAATTTTTTTGAGAAGGGACTATTTGTAATTTTCAGAATCACTTGTGACAATTTGTATTTTAAAAAAATCTAAAGGGATATATTTGTAATTTATCATTAAAAAAATAGTTCTTACACTTTCAATTTTGTTGTAATATGATCTCTCCTTCATTTTTTGTTATCATTTAGAAAAAAATTTAATCCTTACACTTTCTTTTGAATTTCACTTTGATCACTCTAGTTTTACATATAATTTTTTTTCTTTCTATTCAACTTATATGTTAACAACACATGACAAAAGCTCCAAAGTAAAATCTGACTCAAACTAGAGGACTAATAATATAATTTATTTATAAATTATTCAAAAAAAATAATCAATTATTTACATTAAATGTGACTCACGTACTATTAATTTTAAATTTCACCATACATACTTTCGGAATAAATTTTCATCACATTTTTTATATATACAATGTACGAGAAGATTAAGGTCTCGTTTGGGAACAGGCTAATTTAGTAACTTTTTGACTATTTGGCTAAAAAGGTAGGTAAAAAAAACTTGTATGTTTGGAATGATTTTTTGGCTAATTACGAAAAGATGTGCAAAAAATAGAGAGAAAAGAGAATCTTTGACTTTTTGATATGAGTTATTGATTTTTTGATTAATTTAATAACTTTTTGACTAATTAGCTAAAATAACCTCTTGCCAAACGAGGCCTAAGCCGATTGACTTGGAAAGTATTATGTTGTGCGCCGAATTTTATTTCAAAAAACGAGACAAATTGTGTAGATTCAAAGCGGTGAGATGTTTGCCATACCTAGTTCTCCTTTGGGAATAAATTTTTTCAGTAATTTTTTTATTTTTTAGGTAAAATATGATATAAAATTAATATATTACAAAAAGATGTGTAAAAAAGTATAAAATTTTTTTTTTTAACTTTTTGGTATATATTGTTAACTTTTTGATTTTTTTAATAACTTTTTAACTTTTAGACTAAAAAAATTACTTTTCAAACGAGGCCTTAATTTGATTGTAATTTTTTTTTATTGTTTTCAATAGATAGAAAAGTAGTTACATTTAGAAGAGAAATAAATTAACTACCACAAAGGATATCAAATTCTATTCTATAATTTTTTATTATTTTTATTTTTATTTTTATTTTTATTTTTATTTATTATTATTATTATTTTATTTTTTTTGGTGTAATCGACGAATAATTTATTTATAAATTATTCAAAAAAAATAATCAATTATTTACATTAAATGTGACTCACGTACTATTAATTTTAAATTTCACCATACATACTTTCGGAATAAATTTTCATCACATTTTTTTTATATACAATGTACGAGAAAGAAAACTAAGGCGATTGACTTGGAAAGTATTATGTTGTGCGCCGAATTTATTTCAAAAAACGAGACAAATTGTGTAGATTCAAGGCGGTGAGATGTTTGCCATACCTAGTTCTCGTTTGGGAATAAATTTTTTTAGTAATTTTTTTTATTTTTTAGGTAAAATATGAAATTACCAAACGAGACCGAAGTCTCGATAAGATAAAAAACCCCAATCCAAATTCAAAATCCTAATACCTTTAGTTTACTTTTAATAAGATTTAAAAATGATGGAATGGAGTCCAAAATCAAAGATTAATTTAATTGACTACATTATCTGTATTTAAAAGGATACTAGCAGGTGGCACACACGCTACGTATGTAATTCAAATAAATAAGAATAAAAATAAATAATAAAAAAATTAAAATATGTTTGTTGTTTAAGTGGTAAGAACTTTTGTAATGAAATCTAAAATTTTAAGTTCAAATCTTGTTTTCCTCCAATATACCAAGCACAAACCCAATAACCATTACTAAACTACATTTAATTCCCATAATAGAAGAGAAATAAATCAATTACCACAAAGGATATCAAATTCTTTTCTATAATTATTTTTATTTTTATTTTTATTTTTATTTACTATTATTATTGTTATTATTTTATTTTATTTTGGTGTAATTGATGAAAGTCAATTATTGATTGTTGGATTAGTACTTGTGGAAGTTAACCTCTCCATTCTTACAAAGCACCAAGTGCTTTTCTACTAATCTAACTCCCCCTAAGAGAAGTTGAACTCATGACCTTCCCTTCAGGATTAAACCCCTTAAGAAAGTCATGATCGCCAATTAGATTAGGCTGAATTGATTTAACTTGTCTCTATATTTTTGACAACTCAGGGTGTCCGGGCCTGCTTGCGCGCACCTCGACTAATCCCTGGGGGACCAATCCCACCGTCCACTAGCGGGGGGTCCATTTAAAGTCAGAGCAAAGCTCTGTATGGACTGTCCGAACCCAAGAGTTGATAGCACCTAAGAGGTTTTGAACCCGAGACCTAGAGAGGAGCAAACTCCCAAGTCTCAAACCTCCACCACTAGGCCAATCCTTGGGGGTTTATAAATGCACTTATGGGTTTTGTTTGGGAGCCAAACCTTTATATGGCATTTTATAAAATAAATTAAAAAGAGACCCAAAAAAAAAAAAAAAGAAGAGATATTTACCAATAAATCCTATCTCACAAACAAGTACCCCAATTAATCCCAAGTTTTTTATGTTGATCTGTTAAGTCCTATTAGTGGAGAGTTTTTTTCCGTGTGGTCCTATTTTTTATTTTGGTAGTATTTTGGTGGACAACTATACCCTTTTACTAATATGGCAGGTATGATATGACACTCTAACGTGCCGGGTATAATGTGACACTCCAAAAAAATTAAAAATTCCCTAATGTACTTTTCTCAAATGTGACAACGTGACGGGTGTGATGTGACACTCTAAATCTTTTACTCAAAAAAAATTAAAAACTCCTCAGTGTACTTTTCTTAAATATGACGTGGTGGGTATAATGTGACACTCCAAAAAAATTAAAAATTCCCTAATGTACTTTTCTCAAATGTGACAACGTGACGGGTGTGATGTGACACTCTAAATCTTTTACTCAAAAAAAATTAAAAACTCCTCAGTGTACTTTTCTTAAATATGACGTGGTGGGTATAATGTGACACTCCAAAAAAATTAAAAATTCCCTAATGTACTTTTCTCAAATGTGACAACGTGACGGGTGTGATGTGACACTCTAAATCTTTTACTCAAAAAAAATTAAAAACTCCTCAGTGTACTTTTCTTAAATATGACGTGGTGGGTATAATGTGACACTCCAAAAAAATTAAAAATTCCCTAATGTACTTTTCTCAAATGTGACAACGTGACGGGTGTGATGTGACACTCTAAATCTTTTACTCAAAAAAAATTAAAAACTCCTCAGTGTACTTTTCTTAAATATGACGTGGTGGGTATAATGTGACACTCCAAAAAAATTAAAAATTCCCTAATGTACTTTTCTCAAATGTGACAACGTGACGGGTGTGATGTGACACTCTAAATCTTTTACTCAAAAAAAATTAAAAACTCCTCAGTGTACTTTTCTTAAATATGACGTGGTGGGTATAATGTGACACTCCAAAAAAATTAAAAATTCCCTAATGTACTTTTCTCAAATGTGACAACGTGACGGGTGTGATGTGACACTCTAAATCTTTTACTCAAAAAAAATTAAAAACTCCTCAGTGTACTTTTCTTAAATATGACGTGGTGGGTATAATGTGACACTCCAAAAAAATTAAAAATTCCCTAATGTACTTTTCTCAAATGTGACAACGTGACGGGTGTGATGTGACACTCTAAATCTTTTACTCAAAAAAAATTAAAAACTCCTCAGTGTACTTTTCTTAAATATGACGTGGTGGGTATAATGTGACACTCCAAAAAAATTAAAAATTCCCTAATGTACTTTTCTCAAATGTGACAACGTGACGGGTGTGATGTGACACTCTAAATCTTTTACTCAAAAAAAATTAAAAACTCCTCAGTGTACTTTTCTTAAATATGACGTGGTGGGTATAATGTGACACTCCAAAAAAATTAAAAATTCCCTAATGTACTTTTCTCAAATGTGACAACGTGACGGGTGTGATGTGACACTCTAAATCTTTTACTCAAAAAAAATTAAAAACTCCTCAGTGTACTTTTCTTAAATATGACGTGGTGGGTATAATGTGACACTCCAAAAAAATTAAAAATTCCCTAATGTACTTTTCTCAAATGTGACAACGTGACGGGTGTGATGTGACACTCTAAATCTTTTACTCAAAAAAAATTAAAAACTCCTCAGTGTACTTTTCTTAAATATGACGTGGTGGGTATAATGTGACACTCCAAAAAAATTAAAAATTCCCTAATGTACTTTTCTCAAATGTGACAACGTGACGGGTGTGATGTGACACTCTAAATCTTTTACTCAAAAAAAATTAAAAACTCCTCAGTGTA